GTTTATCTATAGCTCTCCTTTTTTGTTTTTCTTGCTATTGTAATATTTTTATTTTATTTTATTTCCAGGCAACAATAACTCCAACTTCAACCTCCCTTCCTCCGACAACTCACAAGAAAATAATCACTACACTTCCAACTACAGCACCAAATTCTACGCACAATGCTACTACAGCTGTACCTTCAACAGTTGAAACTCCTACATCATCGTTGAGCACAAGTAGCGATCATTCAACAGCATCCAGTTATTTTACATTTAAGATGTTTACTTTAGGTCCCGCCAAACCAGAATGGAGGCCAACAGAATGTACACATCTATTCAGTGGTTATATTGTGCCTGACCTGCTTCACTTTGCTGCATTTATATTTGGCTTTTATCACTTTAGGATTCAAGAAAGTGAGGGCTTACAAGCACTGATTGAAATGGTATGATATGATATACCCCAAGGGATGGCGCCGGGGACTCCTATATATAGAAGGGTGGGAATGCTCGGCAGATATTTGAAAATGACCCTTAAATGGTACCCCAAGCCCTGTCCAGCTAGGCGTGGCAACTAATGATTTCTTAACCTAAGGAGGTATCAATAATCCTTGATTGCTAAGTGATAGAAGTCTGATAATGAACCRGAAAAAATGTAATGAAATTACAACTGCTATTCTGGCTGTCATGTGTCCGACAAAGGCAGACTTCRGACTGCAGACTGTAGACCAGTAAATTTGAATATTGTCGCCCAATTAAGGTACAAGAAAATATTGTCCAATGAGAAGGGAGTAAAAAAAAGACTTTTACACTTGGTGAATCTATTTACCCTGGCTCCATTTTTTTGTTTTTTAAAATATGTCTWTAAGTGATTCCAAGTTTCCTGCACAAGAATCAATTATTAATGTTGACTTTTCTGGATGTCTTGTAGGTTTTTCTTCAAAGTAGAAATCAAACCAAAGTGGTAAAAAGACTCAGGTGAATAAGCTCTCTTGGTCAGACAGACAGACAGTCGATCATTGCTGACAAACATTAGTCCTGCGYGACCACCATCTTTGTGTGGTATACATAATAAGAGGACCTGGAATCTTTTCCTGGTCAGACTTTTTGAGTAAAAATATGAATTTGAAACAACTTTGCACCAAAGAGGCAATTTTCATGAATCTTTTGCATTCTTTGTCATTTTAGCCTGCGCTCACAATTACCTTATTGCATAAACGTTGTTGTGTTAAACTGCATGTTAGATATAGTGTATTTATGAGGGCTTTACAACCATTGGCCCTCGTTTCATGATCAAATCAAGATCATTATCATCATCACTTATCCTGCTAGAAGGGGCAGTTAGGCTATAAATGGGCTCTTCTCAAAATTGTCTTGAATGCACGACTAAACATGGAAATACAAAAGAAATGCCACAAATTCCACCGAGAAGAAGTGTGTTTTCTGTTGTATTTACATGTTAGCCTCACATCCAAGTTCAATTTGAGAAGGGTCCATGTGGGATTTAGAATTGTTGTTGTTGCTGTGGTTGTTCAGGGTTGTTGTGGATGTGTACTTATATTTTTTAATCTTTATTTCAGATCCTTCCTGATTCTTGGCGCAGTTTGTTTGGTCATCTCTACCGCCACCTATATTCTGTTTATTATTTCCTTTGGTCTTCCATCAGTCACAGGATTCCACAATGACACTAAGTACCTACCATGATGTTGACAGCTATTAACTAGGATCAACGGAAAACAAAATTTAAGATATCTTTTCCTGTATTTTATTATTGTATGGAGTATTTTATTGTTGTATGGAGCCTCGTTCATTTTTCATTTTTTTCCATTTCTATATTATTTTGCGATAGACCTCTTACCTTGGACRTGATGTTTTCCCATTTCATGTGTCATTCTCTCRGATAAGGAGGTCTTTGTTTGAGATGTACCAATACATCAATATCTTCTCTGCACTAAAAACAATCATGATACTCTAGGGAATGACACATGGTCTGAAATTTTATGGGAAAACATTATGTAGTCCTTTCTTCAGATTAAGTAGATGTTAAAAAAATATTTATCTATTGATAAGTGATTTATTGTTTTTAGGAACCAATGGATTTCTATATGCTTCATGGTCCTTGGTAATCTAGTCCTGGATTGTGTCAGTTTTGTCGTCATCCTGAATTACTGTGCTCAGTGTCAGCTGTTGATATTCTATTTGAGGGACATTGCTTTAAGAATGGAAGAAAAGACAGCAGAACTGGGTCATACTATGAAGGTKACTCAAAATCTCTCTTGAGATATATGAATAACAATGAAACAGCTGCCATGTTGGTTGATCTAACAAGAGAAGCTAATGAGTACTGCTTTGTTATTATCAACCAAGATGGTGGTTATGACGTAGCATGTACATGCTCTATATACAACCTCTCTATTCTTTTCCATTCCATCCATTTTTCTTTGTTTTTAACAGATGACCCAACCCTTTCTATTTACTTTTGTTTATCTCAGTAGTGTACC